GTCACACCAGTACTTGATAAAATTCAGTAGCCTTGCCTAGTAAAATCTCCACTTAATGAATTGATGGTTTGTTTCATATTACACTTTACAGTCTATGATGTTGGGAAGCCAGGGCAGGAACTCAGATGGGAAGTGAAGCAGAGTCCATGGGGAAAAGCTGCTTACTGGTCTGCCCACTCTCTCTCTTATAGAACCCAGGCCCACCCACCTCAGGAGGGCACCACCCACAGTGGACTGGACCCCCCCAACTCATCAGTTAATATCAATTAGCAATTAAGAAACTGCCACACAGACAGTCGGGAACCCGGCGGGCCGCGCGGCCGGATGAGGGGCGCGATGGAGCCGGAGCCGGAGGTGCTGCTGCAAGAAGCCCGCGAGAACGTGGAGGCGGCACAGAGCTACCGGCGGGAGCTGGGCCAGCGGCTACAGGGGCTGCGGGAGGCGCAGAGGCAGGTCGGAGGGCCGCTGCGGGCCTTGGAGGGCGCGGGCCGGAGGGTGGGCGCGCGCGGCCGGGGGCACCCCGAGGCTCTGAGCTCCGGGAAGGCGGGACGCCGACCTGTTGGAGACCGGTCATGGTGAGGTGGGTGGATGCTGCAGAGGTCTTGAGGGGAAGACAAGTTTGGGGGACCGAGGAAGGGTGCGGGGAGCGCTGCTAAGCCGCCGTGCGGGGCACTTGGTGGGAATAGGGTGGCGTCGGAGGTTGAGCCAGCGGAGCAAAATCCGAAGGATCCCAGAGTTGTGACCGAAGAGAGCCGGGAAGAAGAGGGTATAGGGAGGGGAAACCTGTGCTTGATAGATACTCAGTTTAGAAAGCCCCAGGGCAGTGACTTAGTAAAGGAGGAGACCCGGAGAGGGAAGAGGTAAGGAGAAACCCGGAGCTTGAGCAGCAGCAACTTGAATGCCGAATGAATGGGGTTAATACTTGAACATCTCACACGATCGCAGATGCCTTGAAAAATTATTGAGAGTAATCTCTAGATGGGCTAGGACTTTAGGTGAAGGGTGTTGGAGGGCAGGAGGAGGAAAACAAGACGTTTCAGGGAGGGCATACAAAAGTGAAGGGAAGTGGAAAAACAGATTTAAAGAAAGGACTTCTAAAAGGAGAAGCTAAATATACTTTCAAGTGGTGCAGTTATCTCTCCAACAAGGAAAGGGCCAGCAAAGATACAGGAAAGCCACATGGCTCCTCTGCACTCTCAAACGTATACAGAAAAAGATATAACCCTCTGCCAATGCTAGATAAGGCAGATAATCCTCAGGTTACTGTTAAGTGCTTAGTTAATGCTTTTTGAGTAAATGGAATTCCATTAGAATTTCTCTAGGCCTGATTTGCTACAAATGCGTATCACCACACTGGTAACTCCCGTGCTGCTGTGTAGAACCTGAAAATGGTGAAATGTGTGTGTGCTAACAGTGTCTTTGAATGTCGTCATCTAAGCGTCTCCATATGCTTTGGGGTTTATGTATTTTGAATCTCTGTAGAGCTGGTGTAGGCCAGGCATCATTATTTTAGCCAAAAACTGGGATCAGGATCTGGATATGACATATGATTAAACCTGATTTGGTGAACACTTTCAAGGTCTTCCAGTGCACACATTTGGATTTTCTTTTGAAAGCATCTACATTATTCTACTATTTTGAAATGAAATGTTCAAAATCTAGGGCTTTATTAAAAAATAAAAGTTTAAATTACCTCTTTTTGTGTTATATTGCTTAGTCTGAGAATCTCATGCGTACAGAGTATTTTTATCATATCCACCTCCCACTCTGCCCCCTCTAACTTTAATTAATTAATTAATTTTTTTTTTTTTTTTTTTTTTTTTTTTTTTTTTTTGAGACAGGGTTTCTCTGTGTAGCCCTGGCTGCCCTGTAAAATGTCCTGTAGACCAAACTGGCCTCGAATTAGGAAATCCACCTGCCTCTGCCTCCTAAGTGCTAGGATTGAAGGCAGGGGCTGCCACCACCCTGTTTGCTGTCTTTTTATTGTTGTTGTTTTAAATATAGCTCTTACTAAGTAGCCAAGGCTGTCCTGGGACTCATTATGTAGCCCAGGCTGACAGCAAACTGGAAATCCTCCTGCCTTAGACTCTGGAGTACTGAGGTAACAGGCATGTTCCACCACTCTTGGCTCAAGTACCCCTTAATAAATGACTAACGTTTGAGCCAGTCCAAATATCTCATACATGAGCATGGCTGTTGTTGAACTGCCCCAGCAATTATGAGCATTAGGGTTGGCACTAGAAGAATGAAGTTAGCACCCGGGCGTGGTACTTATTAATTTCTTGTGTGTGTGTGTGTGTGTGTGTGTGTGTGTGTGTGTGTGTGTGTGTGTGTGTAGTGTTTTTTAGTGTGATCTGCACCCTAGATAGTTAAAACATTTCAGTTTCTAAACCTAGGTGTGTGGATGTGGCTCAGTGATAGAACACTTGTCTACTAGATCCACAGCACTGAAAAAAATCTAAACCTGTGTTCTCTCATTTTACATTTATTTATTATTAATTTTCCATTGTGTTTTTGGGCATTGGAACCCAGGGCTTTAGGCATGCTGGAAAACTGCTCTACCTCTTGAGCAGTTAAGTTTCGAATCCAGTAATTTAAATACAGAACATATTCCTATAATTAGTGTGGTTTAGTATGGTTTTCGTTTTTTTGTTTTTGAAAGGCGTGGTCTCATGCTTGACACATGAAACAGTAAGAGCACATCCATCACAGTTTGGATTTCTGGTGACATCACATTCTGACTAGTCCTAGTGTCAGTCTCCTTTATCAACTGGAGCGCGTTTGTTCCAGTTGTGAGTTACCACAGCTGCTTCTAACTCATTGTGCTTGGCCCTCGGGTTTGTAGAAGTCGGCTTCTGTCAAGTCAAGCTTTAAGAAAGTTCTATGTTACAAAAATATTATCAAGATGAACAGGTGCCTTTGTTTGGTGGTTAGAATAGAGTTCCAGTCATTTTCAGATTAATTATATCAAATATGATTTTGAGAAAAAATGTTTGTCTTAGGAAGGATGAGAAGAGCAGAGAAGAAGGGATCCTGGACTGGGTATATTTTTTACTTGCTTTTGACTTTTTGTTGTTGTTTTTTCTTTTCTTCTGTTTTTCTTTTTGGAGACAAGGTTTCTCTGTGTAGCATATCTTAAATCCCAGCATGTGGGAGGCAGAGGCAGGCAGATCCCAGAGCCTGGTCTACAGAGTGATGTCCAGAACAGCCACACAGAGAAACTCATGTCTCAGAAAAGCCAAAAAAAAAAAAAAGAAAAAGAAAAAAAAAGTATATTTTTAGGGTTCATCTGTATGGTAGCATTTTTTAGTACTTAAGCCCTTTTATGGCTGAATAATATTTGTGATATGAATACATCTTGTGTTATTTATTCATTCACCAGTCGGTAGACAAAGGGGTTTATTCTACTTTTTGACAATTATGAAATATATATATACACACACACACACACATACACACATACACACACACACACACACACAGAGTTTTTTGTGTGGACATGTTTTCAATTTTTGTTTTAGAACATACCTACCAGTTACTAGATCACCTGGTACCTTTTTCATTTGAGATTTGTTTAATTGTTTCATAAATTCTTGGCATACATTTTATCTTTTCTTTGGTTTCTTACGGTTTAAAATTTTCTCATAATTTTTGTTGATTGTTAAGAAATGGTATCTGTGAAAGTCTAAGGGAAGAAGGATAAAAACCTTTAAATTATTCTGTCAAAAACTTGTAGCAGTTTCTCCTCTGTGGTTAAGTTTAGGCCCTACCCTCTGTTTTTAGAGAAAAGGAAGTTCTGTGTAGGAATGCTAATGTTGTCTCTAACTTACTGTTTTGGTTTTTGTTTGTTTGCTCTTTTGAGACAAATTCTCATGTTTCTAAGCTGACTTTGAACATGCTTTTTAGCTGAAGATTATCTTAACTCCTGCCTCCACCTCTGAAGTACCACCAATACAGACCAACCTGCCACCCAGCTTATCTTACTGCTTAAGTAAGTTAAAGACAAGAGATATATTTGGTTGTCAGGAAAGTGGATAATGTCACAGCAGCCTATTCTGATGTGGAAATCATTAAGAATAGTTTTCTACACCTCCCTGGAATCCTTGGTACTAAGGAGTGAATACCAAAGAAGTGAAACCCCACTCTCTGTAAGTGCTCACTTGTTCATTCACTCAGTAAATATTTGTTGTGTATCAGAGATAACTTCTAAGTCCTGTATACCGAGGTCAGAGAAATAAACCTTCATGAATTTATTCCTGTCTCTGGAGCCTGATAAGTAGGTTATCAGCCCTAAAAACAAAATTAACAAGAGGAACCTGCATCGTTATGTGTTCATTTTAGGACTTGACTTGACTCCCACTGTATTTCTCATCACTTGTGCTATTTCTAGAACAGTATCGTTTCTGCTAGGCTGGCCTTGAACTCACAGAGATCCTCCTGCCTCTGCAACCCCTTCTGGGACTAAGGGCTTATATCAACATGTCCAGATGAATAACTGATGATCTTACGCCAATGCTTAACTAGCATGTCTTTTTGTAACAGTATAGCCCTCAGGGAGGCTTTGAACTCCTGCTCTCCATTCCCCCACAGCTGCCTCCTGAATAGTTTGTATTATTGATCCATACCACCACTCTGGCTAGCATTTTTAATATCTATAATGTGTCCAGTCAGTGAATACGTTTATATATACTGTGTTTTTATTTATAACTTGCTTTTATGTTTTGTTTTTTTTTTCCTTTGGTTGGTGGGTCATTGAAGTATGGTCTCAGGTATCTCTGATGGGCCTAGAATCCAGTGTGTAGCCCAAGCTGGCCTCAGATCTTGTTACCTCCATGTCGAGAGTGCTGGGACGAGGACAGACAGACAGTGCCACAGGCACCCTGCTTGCTTTTGTTTTGAGGCCGAGTCTCTGCTGAGTTGTGTTCCGCGCTCGGAAGAGCCTCGTAGTAACTGTGTCTGACACAGTATTGGGCTTAGCTCAGTTTTGTTGTTTTAGAGAGTTGATTTTAGACTACTTTTTGACGATTTAACTAGTATCCTTGTTGTATTTTTTCTTTATAAGACCAGGTGCTGTATAGATCTTTATTTCCACAGGAGTTGAAAACACACAACAAACTAAAGACTCATGAAGAAAAACATAGGTTATTTCAGAAAACCAAGACAGGAAGTCTTAGCTCAGTGAAGGAAAGAAAGCTATTATTGCTGCTTTTATCTCTCACTTCCCCTTCTGTTACCATTTTGAAAACAGTATAGGAGTCTGTTTAGATGTAATTTGGTGCAGCAGTAATACTGTTATAGTATCCTAAGAAAACATTAAATCTAGATCCAGGGAAAGCTAAGAACAGATAGTCATTTGAAAATAAGTCATGATTACAGTTGTAGACAGCCTAGTTAACATTTTGATATATCTATCAATGTATATTCTACAGAGGTGAGAAACTGCTCTGTATGTA